GACACAGGACCATGAAATAATTAAATGCACACTGAAATATTTATATATATTTTTTATAAAATGAAGACGTATTTTATTAAATGAATGACACATTTATATATTTAATTCCTTATTTATTTAATGAATTACACATTTAATTAATTATTGACACATTTAATTATCTATTTAACGCTGTATTTATTTATTTAATTTTGGAACTTTTTATCCTCCATATCCATCAGCCCCCACCTGAGAGCCCCCACCAACTTTCATTACAAAGTTACACCCTTGCATTAGAGCAACACGCTGTAACTTTGAGCCACTAGGGGCGCTAGACCTGCTGAAGGTAGCGCTGCTTCCAGCATAACTGCCTCCTCTGCTAACGGCTGTCAGTGGATGACAGCGAGCAGGAAGCCCAAAAACTGCATCAGAGGTTCCCTGTTTGAATGTTTGAAAAGAATCATTTAAAAACCACACATGTATAAATCTTCTAACCTTTTTATTGGTATCGTTGAACTGATCACTGATTGGCTCCTACAGTTTCTCTCTTAAAGATCTGGTTTGCTCTGGGATGGAGAACATGGGCAGCAGGTTCCTGTTATCCAGCAGGAACTTCAGAGCGCTGCTCCTCAGAGCCGCCCGTCGGTCTGCGTCACTCGGACCGGCCTGAGGAAGGCAGGGGGAGTCATCCTCAACGTCACCGTCCTGCAGACAGAGAATACAAGATCTAAAGAGATTAGGGAAAATGATCTTCTTCACTAAATGATGACAGAAGAAGGTTAGGAGGAATGAAGAGGAGGAATGGGGATGGGTTCTACACCACAACTGTAAGTGAGGAATGAAAGGGACGGACCTTCTGCTCGGGTGACATCATCTTCATCATCCTCTGATGGAGGTCGGAGAACCTGTCGTGGAAAACAGGCAAACAGCAGCTCTGCTGGAAGAAGCTGGAAGAGAAGGAGTCAGGAAACCCTTTTAGACTTCCTGCATGATCCAAGCATCGGCCCAAAGTCCGGAGGAACAGAGAACCGAACCAAGCAAAAGCCTGTTCTACAGGTTCTAGAGCATTCTGATGGTTCTGACCTGGTCTGAAGGATCAGTTAAAAGCAACATATTTGGGTTTGGTTCTTCTATATAGGATATATACAGTATAGAAACATGTCTGGGTTTCATTCTGCTCCTCTCTGTCCCGATTAAAACAATGAAAAACTTTTTTCTGCTGCAATCTTTCTAATAATTTCTTCCACAGAGGTTTCTGCGTATAGAGTTAGACTGTCTAGAATCAAACAGTAAGTGTTGAGGTTCCCAGAGATGGACTGTTCTGGCTCCTCTGTAACTTTGTGACTCAGCAAAGCCGTCCAAGCTCAGCTTTGTCCCGCCTCCCCTGACGGATCAGGGAGCTGCATAAACAGATTAGGAGGTTTGTGTTTGGGAGGGTGGGGGGGTCATGTGTTGAAACCTCAGAAGCAGGTCACCTGCTGTTTGACAAACACTAATGGAGACAAAGAGAGCAGCCTGGGATGCTGCTGCCTCTACAGAAAGCTGTTCCACATCTGCTGTGGTGCTGAAGACATTTCTGGTGTTTTCAGGAGCTCATCAGAACATGTGGGTCAGTATGACTCCTACATGACTGCATGTTTTTATACCCTCACCAGTAAAGATCATCTGTTCCTCTTGTGTTTCTCATCCTGCAGGCAATTCAGTCATTTATCTCTTTGACCTCATTCTTCAGCTTCCATATACACATGCTCCTGTTGCCAGATTAATGAAAGCCTTCGTGCTAGTCAATGTCCAGCGTTATTTTGTCGGCAGTACCAAATTTTTGAACTTGTTCTCGTCTTTAGCCGTACCTCTGTTGAACATCTCATTAGTTTTTGTTTTTGGACATTGATTTTCAGCCTGTTTCTCTGACCTTTTCCGTGACCTCTTGTCTAACCACTAGGATGTGTGAGCCCTCCGCCCGCCAACCTGTGTATGACCACCTTCTGGATAAGAGATTTACTGCTTGGCTCTGCTTCAAGATCAGATATAGATCCTGGTTCTAACCATTCAACATATTCTCATTATCAGTTCGTATGAAATCGTACGAAAAGTTATGCACAGTATTTCGTAAGTTTTTGACGTTGTTCCTCGAAAAAACAGATCAGTGCGCTTGCACAGGCAGACGGACGTAAAACTGGGAAAAACAGTGCAATAATTACTTCTTGATGTCTCTAACTAGGTTGCTTGCTGTTTTGTATCGTAGGGTCAGGGTTAGGGTTAATTGTATGTTAAATTCTATGTTATTGAATGGTGCGTAAGATGCCCATGCGCAAGGATATCTTGTCTCGAGGCAAGACGTAAAAATACGACGAAATACGATGAAAAAAACGTCAAAAATGTACGAAATTATGGTGCATAACTTTTCGTACGATTTCATACGAACTGATAATGAGAATACACTGAACCATTTTTGGTTGGATTTGACTGAAGAATTATAGTTCAGACACCGATTGGTTCATAGGTTTAGGCCACAGTAACTTGGTCACTCCTCATACAGTGACCGAACCGTTCCTGTCCCACCTGTAAAGGTCCTGGACCAGGCCCTGTCGGTAGCGGTTCAGCAGGTGGCCCAGCAGCTCCTGGTGCTTCCCAAACAGATTCAGGTAGTTGGAGACGGGGAGGGGCTTCAGGGACAGACAGGTGATGGTCTCCACCGTCTCCAGGGGGCTCAGATGAAGGCTGAAGTAGTTCCCGGTCTCAGGTCGTCCAGTCGTGATGCCTTCACCCTGAATCGTCACAGTAGAGCCAATGTTGCTGTGTCAACATGTTGCACATATTACAAGTTATTTTATTTCTAATCTTTTATTTTGGTGAACATTCTTAAACCCTATGCGTAATATTTTCCATGTAAAATCAGTGTTAAATTGAATTTTTTTCTCTCCTGTGTCACCGGTTGTAGCAGGGGGACTTTAATTACTGGTACACAACAATGCGATAGTGGCGTAGCTCTGTCTGTCCGGCTAAACTCTGGAAGCTTTAGCATCGGTAAGATGTGTTGCGATGCTCCCTGCCTGCTAGCATAATTTACTCTGTCTTAAAGTGGATATAAACGTAACCATATCATCGCTAACGCACTGCTGAATATATTTATGCTTGTCTTGGCCAGGGAAAATCGCCATTTATTTCTTTAAATTTAACAGAAATTTCCCTTATTTGCATATTTGATGATCTGCTGCAGGAAACTGAAGGCTGGTTTATGCTTAGAAACCAGGTCGTCTGCGTGTGTCGCAGTTAACGCAGATATGCCCCGCCCCTTCTGCAGGTACTCTGCTGCACCTCTCCAAAACTGTAGGTGAGCGCAGACAGGAGGCCTCTGATTGGTCAAATCTCCATCCGCTCTAAGCTATGCGTATTTCCTGTTTGGTTCCTTACCGGCTGGTTTGTTTGTCTGACCGCCATTGTGGAAAACGAAAACTAGCGTGGTGCTTTAGAACGCTGGGACCTTTTTTCCACCTGGATCCCACTTCCTCACCGCTTCGGCCGTATCTAGACCCACAGCTAGCTCCTGATTGGCCCTCTGGCGTTGTGGCGTGGAATAACGTAGCGCAGACCACGCTTCAATATTAGTCTTATCTGCTAGAAGCTCACTGCGACGCACTGCTGCAGGAGGATAACCAGCCCTTTAGAGGATCTAAAAGCCTGTGTGTGTTTACTGACTGTGTCCCCCACTACTCTTACAGGTGTGTTATGATATAAAATTGTTCTTCTGAATTCTGTTAGGTATTTTTTACTAAAGGACTGCATAGTTTATAT